ACTACTATGCCTGGCCTAAAATAAAGTGTTTTATAAAATAACTCTTGGCATTACTTTTGTGGAATTGACGGTAATTTAAAGTGGTTTTTTTTTTTCCTATTCCTGAGTAGGTGTCCTGTTTTAAGAACAGAATCATATTCGATCTTCCAAGGACTTTTTTCTGTGTATTCCTTTTCAGTATCCTTATTTCCATTTCTAAAATAATATAACTATGTTCAGGGGTTTTTTGTTGAGCAGTGGGATAGAACCCAGGGCCTCCAGCATGACGATCAAACACACTACCACTGAGCTCAACCCTAGCCCATGTTTTCAGGTTTTAAAATACTAGATAGCAGTTGAAAACTATGATTATTCTGGGCTTTCTGTTTGTTTCTTCCTCTAACTTACTGCATTTGAGTTGGGAAAAGATAAGATTCTGTGGTCTTTTAGAAGGCATCTGAAATTTGGAAATGAGCTATCAAGTAGGGTTGCTTAGCTTATTTTCCAGTGTTCATTGACTTTCATATAGTCTGATAGTTTTTAAGGAAGTTAGAGTCAACAGTAAGCCTATTTACCACATCATGAGCTAACCCTGGTTCCAGAGTAGATACAGACTGGAGTAATAAATCTCCTTACTGACTCAGACACCCTGGGCAGATTACTTACTTAAACCAAGCCTTAGTTTCCCTATCCATGAAAGGGTATAATGGAGACAGTGATGTATATAATTAGTAAGTACATGACATACAGTAGATACAGTAGGAACATTTTTTCTCCACCCAGGTTTAAAATAGAGAAAAAGCAATGGCACATGGTAGGGAGGCTAAGGCAGGAGGATTGCTAGTTGGAGTCCTACCAGGGCATCTTAGTCTCAAAAACATGTTTTGAAAAAGGGCCGGGGGGCGGGGGTGGGCCGGGGATTTAGCTCAGTGGTTTCGCCGCCTGCTGCGCAAGCGCAAGGACCCCAGTTTGATCCCTGGTACCAAAAAAAGAAAAGGGATGGGGATATATCTTTGTGGTAGAATGTCCTGGATTCTATCCCTAGTAGAGCAAAAATAAAAAATTAATTGAGGGGGCCGGGGATTTAGCTCAGTGGTTCCAACCCCTGCCTCACAAGAGCAAGGTCCTGAGTTTGATCCCCAGTACCAAAAAAAAAAAAAATTTAACTGATTAAAAGAAGTTAAATTAGGAGTCTTGGGAGTAAACCCTAGTGAACCATAGTAAGAGAACAGGATACCAAAAAAAGCACTGAGAAATGTCTTGCATTTTCCTTTCAAAGGGACACAGCATAGTACATTAAGTTCCCAGGACTGGTGAAAAAAAATACAAATATGTAATCTGTGTGATTAAATTTGAGAAAAATAAATTTAATGGGATCTTTGTGTTATGTTATATTTTGGTTTTCAGCTGTTCTCCACCAATTCTTTTTCCCAACATTCAGGGTAGCATTGTTCTGATTTCATAAGAAAACCTTTTGGCAATAACAGTAAATATAATAAAGCTGAATAGCTAATTGTAGGTGATACCTGACACCTGTGAGCAGCTTTGCAACTTCCTGTATGAGTTTCAGGAGTATTGATTTCTTGTTTCTCTTCATTCTTTCCCTTACAATTCAACTGTTTTTCTGATTTCCACATACTGTGATCATTGTGCTTAATACCTCAGGAATCCAAAGTAGAGAATTCTTCAGCATCTGTGTTCTGGGTCCGCATACCACATATGTGAGAATTTCACACATTTCCAGACTTTGTTTTGTGTGTCATCTGCTTAAGGAATTAAAAAAAGAAGTACTAAGCAGATCTCTGAGTTCATTGAAAGTTCTGTTCTTCAGAATGACCTCACTGCCATGACAAGAGTGATTTTTTTTTTTGGTACCAGGGATCGAACTCAGGACCTTGGACTTGCAAGGCAGGTGCTAAATCCCTGGCCCCTAAGAGTGATTCTTGAAAAGCCTTCACAACACTTTGGAGTGCTGGATTAGTGTTCATGAATTTCCTCAGGTATTCTTTGTAGTGGAAGTATTTTATTTCTCCATCAGTTTTGAAAGATAGTTTTGTGGGGTACATCAGTCTGGGAGGAGCTTATTTTCTTTAAGGGCTTGAAATACTTCACTCCAAGCTCTTCTTCTTTTTTTTTTTTTGGTACTGGGGATCGAACTCAGGTCCGTGCACTTGCCCAGCAGGCAGCAAAACCACTGAGCTAAATCCCTGGCCCTCCAAGCTCTTCTTGACTTGAGGGTTTGTGTTGAGAAGTCTGCCGTGATTCTGATGGGTTTTCCTTTATAGATAATTTATTTCTTTTCTCTTACAGCTTTTTTTTTTTTTGGTACTGGGGATCGAACTTGGGTCCTTGCACTTTCACAGAAGGTGGCGCAACCACTGAGCTAAATCCCTGGCCCTCTTACAGCTTTTAATATTCTGTTTTTGTGTTGAATTTCTGGAATCTTGACTATATCTTGGTGAAGGTTTTTTTTATTATTATGACTAATTGGGGTTTTATATACCTCACTTATCTGTCGAATTCTTTTTCCCTGTTTGGGAAGTTTTCTGCCATGACTTCTGTGAACAGGTTTTTAATGTCATTTCCACGATCTCTATCTTTTTCATTGACTGATCAATCATATGTTATTCTTTGCATCATTTAGCAGCTGGATTGATTTCTCATGGTCCCTTCCTATTTTTTTTTTCCCCTTCCTATTTTTAAGAAATCTTTCTTTTTGGGGGCTAGGGATTTAACTCACTGGTTCCACCAACTGCCTTGAAAGTGCAACGTCCTGAGTTTGACCCCCAGTACCTAAAAAAGAAAAGAAATGTTTCTTTTCATGATCTATCTGATATTCTGTCCTCACATTGGCTCATTCTGCTGCATATACTTTCAATGGAATTTTTAATCTCCTGAATATGTGTGAATTTGTTTCATGGATTCCATTTCTTCCCTATGCTGGGCGTTCATGGTTTCCGTCATTTTCCTAAGCTCCTCTATTTTTGTTTGTTTGTTTGTTTCTGCTGTAGAGTCACTAAGCATGTCTTTCATTCTGTTCATCATCTCTGTAGTTATCTGAAAAATTATTTCTTATTTGATTTTTTCTAAAGCCTCATTCATCCGCTTTGTTACTCCTGTTGTTACCATTTCAGAGTTCCAGGTGGGTAGCTTTCAGATTGTTCCACCTCATTGCCTCCTGGATTTTGGTGAACTGAAAGTCGGGGGGGTTGCATCTTGTTCAAGTGTCTTCACATTTTCTCATATTATTATTATTATTATTATTATTATTATTTTAGTTTAATTCCAAGGTTGATACTTGTAAATTGCTTATGGTGACTAGCTTTATTGTCAGTATTCAGAACCCTTGGGAAATGACTACTTCTCAGAGGTGTCTTCCAGGTGTAGCTGGGTGTTGGGCTCCTACCTCTTCAATTTATTGGGGATGAGAAATTGCTACCTACTTGGCCCACCCTCAGGTTCTTTGGCACTGGACTATAGTATTTCTTAAGACCCTTAGGCAGTCTTGGTATATCAGGAAGAACAACTGATTAGCACAATTATGCCACCTTGGCTAAAGTTGTACAATCAGCAATAACAGTGGCATCAAACACAGCCTATAAAATGACAAACTGTTAATTTGCCACCTTTAACCATATGAACTAGATTTGTGGTTATATAACAAAACCTAAAATGAACTTCAAAATTGTATGCGGTAAATAAGCCCTCACTATGGCAATTTTACCCTCAGGGGAGAAAACTTAAAAGGGATTGGGGTGAAAAAATAGAGAAATAGAAGAAAAGAAGAGATTAGAAGCAAGGCTGGAGGACAAAGGAAGATTGTACAAACTTTGGGAAACTAGTGAAGACAGGAGGGAAAGAGAAGGAAGAAATAAATCCAGAACAGAACAACAGCAACAAAAAAAATAACTAGAAACCATGCTGACACTCATGTAAAAACAAGAACAGTCAAGAAAAAAACCCGAAAAGAGACAAGGAAAAAAAAGAAAATGGGGAAAAAAAGAAAAGTCCACTTCAAGGCGTGTCTCTGCTGTTCCTGGTAGACATCATGAGCAGAGTCCAGATTCAAGTTGATTAATCCCAGCAAGCCAGCTGTAGCTTTATAGTGGATTAGTGGATAATCCCAGCAATCCTGCATCTTTAGTTCCACTGAAGTTCAGGCTGGTTTCTGGCTGAGGCTGGAATGGGATTTGTTGAGCCCGCAACAGTTCATGTGCCTCCTGCCAGCTTGAATTTGGCTCCTTAACCTCTGGTGAGGCTGCTTCTGTGAATTCAGGAGCCACTAGATGGAGCCAGGCTGCAAGTGCTCTGAGTTTTGAACTTAGTTGGCCCCTCTCCAAATGGCTACTGGACAATCGCCCTCTCCAAGGAGATGTCTGAACCCGAATAACTTACCAGCCACTGCAGGCCTCTGTGTCCTCTGCTCCCTTCCACTGGTGTGTTTCTCTGTGGAGGTCTCTGGAGTTGGCAATGGTCACCATGCGTCTGCACGTTCAAGCTGCCTAACATACAGTGAGCCTGGGCTCAGGGAGAAAGTGCAGCCTGCTACCTCCTCCTCCTCTGAAATTTCTCTCTACACTCTCCCTGTGGGCTTCAGTTTTTGCTTTAGATCCTTCCTGGGTCCTGGGAACTCACTTCCCTCCTTCTCTTCCTCACATTGCTATATTCCAGTGTCTGGACACCAAATCTCAAAGCTCTTTGCTGATCATCACTCCACCATCTTCCTGGAAGTCCCTCAACAGGAGTGATTCTTCACATTTACCTCCCAACTGTGTCTGTGGTTTTGGGAGGTGTGTGCTTTGTTTTGTTTTGGTTTGGTTTGGTTTGATATGTGTACTCGTGGAGTCTTCAGTTTTGACAGAAAACATTTGTGCATTCAAGCATCTCTTTGAACCTGTGTGGAATTTTGCTCAATTTTACTAGTAAGATAGCAAATACCAACTTGTAATTAGTAATGATCACCTCTAGGAGTACAATTACACAATTGTATAATTTGAGTGATCTGTGCTTCCTACCTGCAGGATGTTATATCTGAAAACCTGACTTCAGTGTGGTTTCCAGGCAACAATTGGTTAGTGTATCTTGTTTTCTTACTATTTTTTTCTCTGTTGGGCATTGAGGAGTTACACACTAGAGAGACAGGTGACCTTAGAGCATAGTGCCTGGGAGGTATAGGATTTGATTAGGGTTCTAGGAAGTGCTGGAGAAACCCAAATCCACTGGGGGAGGCAGGTGAGGATATTACAGAAAAGAAAGGTATACACAAATCTGGAGGCAGGAGGATTTAAAAAAAACCAGTTTCCTTTTCTGCCAGATGTGATGGACAGTGCACAGCTGTAATCCCAACACTCTGGGAGGATGAGGCAGAAGGACCACAAGTTCAATTTCAGCCTGGGCAACTTAGCAACTTTGTGAGACCCTGTCTCAAAATGAAAAATAAAAAGGGCTAGGAACATAGTATAAAGGCCCTGAGTTTAATCTCCGGGACTGAAAAAACAAACAAACAAACAAATAAAAAACCCTTCCTGGGCCAGGGATTTAGCTCAGTGGTTCCACTGCCTGCCTAGCAAGTGAAAGGTCCCGAGTTCGATCCCCGGTACCAAAAAAAAAAAAAAAGAAAGCCCTTCCTTTTCATTGTTGTAAATGAAAGATTGGCTAATGAGGAATGGTAGCATGGGACATGTGTGAGAAGGCTAGTCTCATAAATGATTAGCAAATTAATAAAGCACATGGTTCTATTTGTGCCTAAATCTAATGCATGAACAGTTGTTAATTCAAGAAAGGCCTTAATATCTTGATTACATATTTTAGTATATTAACCTTTTGCCTTTTAGCACAGATATGAAAGCTACAATGTTAAAATTGAAACTTAAAAGACTTTTTTCATGAGACTTTTTCAAGGGTTAAAAGCTTATTTAAATCCGTGAGGCCCTGCGTTTGATCCCCTGCACCATGCACGCGCGCACACACACACACACACACACACAAAAGTTTAGCTATGACATAATTATAAACAGGACTCTAATTGCAGTGGCTTTTTGAAATTTACAGACGTTTCTCCTTTAACAACTGAGTCATGTTCCTGCAACTAGGTTGTTAATTGAATTAATTGATAAATGAGGACTTGGCTATAGTATGCATATTACAATATTCAAAACAAAGAAACTCAAAGAAATCTCCAACATGATGACTTTGCCTTTATTTGCATAACTCTCACATGCAGTACTGTAATGTATAGCAGGACATAAAACTACAGTACTGTACAGTACAATCAGCAAAAACTACAGTACATATAAACAAGGTGTGCTGTATAAAAAAAGACATTGAGGGGCCAGGGATTTAGCTCAGTGGTTCTGCCGCCTGCCTTGCAAGCGCAAGGTCCCAAGTTCGATCCCTGGTACCAAAAAACTTAAAATTAAAATTAAAAAGACATTGAGGCTCTATAAACAAGATGTACAGAACTGTACACACGTGCACACACACACACACACAAATGTCGTAAGTCCTAGCAGCAGGTTGTAAGTCTGAACAGTTAAGACAGGTAGGTCGTTAAAGAGGAACATCTGTATTTATTTTTACAACGCTGGGTATTGAACTGAGAGCCTTGGCAAAAAGCTAGATCCCCAGCTGTTTTTATTTATTTTTAAATTTTGAGACAGGGTCTCACTAGTTGCCAAATTGCCCAAATTGGGCTTGAACTTGGCATGCTACTGGCTGAGCCTCCCAGAGTGCTGGGTTTACTGCCGTGTGCCACCATGCCTGCCTTGCAGTAACTCCATATACTGGGGATACATTTTTTTTGGTACCAGGGATTGAACTTGGGACCTTGCACTTGCTAGGCAGGTGCTGGAACCACTGAGCTAAATCCTCAGCCCCGGAAATGCATATATATTTATTTTTTTGGTACCAGGGATTGAACTCGGGTCCTTGTGCTTGTGAGGCAGGCAGCAGAACCACTGAGCTAGATCCCCGGCCCAATGCATATTTTTAAAAAATTAAAGTTGAATTTATTAAAAGTGATGGTCAATAGTAATTTTACTGAACATGACTAAAAGGGTTTGATTTTGTTTGGATTTTGACTTTTTATGTTTCTGTGGTGGTAGGATTTGAACCCAGGGCCTCCCGCATACTAGATGAGAGCTGTGTCACTGAACCACATCCCTAGCCCTAAGTGAAAAGATTTGTGTGTACACATTCATTGGCAACTTTGGGTCTGTGGTTCTGGTAGTTGTTTGGAGGGTTGATAATACCATCATGTGCAGCTTTTTTTCTTAAGAGCTGCTTTATTTTGAGAGGACAGTCTGTTTTTGTACTTATTTGTTCATTCAGTAGATGTTTCGTGAGTACCTACTGTCAGATTGTGTTAGATACTAAACATAAAAAGCGATGGGGGCCAGGGATTTAGCTCAGTGGTTTCGCTGCCTGCTGTGCAAGCGCAAGGACCCGAGTTTGATCCCCAGTACCAAAAACAAAAAAAAAGAGATGGGCTGAGGATTTAGCTCAGTGGCACCAAACCTGCCTTGCAAGTGCAAGGTCCTGAGTTCGATCCCTGGTACCATAAAAAAGAGAGAGGGAGAGCGAGCACATCCCTCCCCACTAAGAGTTCAGTCTTGTAGTGCCTCCCTGGGTAACTAGGTTCTGTGCTTCTCAGTGAGCAAACTCCATAAGCTCGGTTCTCACTGTGGCACTTTGACGTTTTAGGCCTGATCGTTCTTTGTGGAAGGGCTTTCACAGGCATATGAGGTATTTAATAGCTTCCCTGGCCTCTGTCCACTAGATACCAGTAGCATCTCCATCCCCAAATTGTGATTATCAAAAATATTTCCAGACATTGCTAGGTCCCGGGGGGCAAATCTAGGATGTGAACCAGACTTTTTTTTTTTTTTGTACCAGGGATTGAACTTGGGTCCTTGCGCTTGCAAGGCAAGCGCAGGAACCACTGAGCTAAATCCCTGGCCAAACCAGACTTTTGTTTTTTTTTGTTTTTTTTTTGTTTTTTTTGTTACAGGGGATTGAACTCGGGTCCTTGCGCTTGCGCAGCAGGCAGCTGAAACCACTGAGCTAAATCCCCGGCCCAAACCAGACTTTTTTATGTGTGTTGGTGACCAAGAGCTTTGATAAATTAGTTTGCAAAAATTTTATACAAAGTTAGCAAATGTAATGAAGAAAAAAACCTAGATCCATTCCACAGCCCTTGTTACTGTTTGTGATTTCACACAGTAGTGGTACAGAATAAGACCTAACTAAATGTTTTGTTTGTTTGCTTGCCAGTACTGGGATTTGAACCCAGCGCCTTTGCACTGAGCTACATCCCCAGGGAGGCCTTTTTAAATTATTGATTGAGGAGCCGAGGATTTAGCTCAGTGGTTTTGCTGCCTACTGCGAAAGTGCAAGGACCCGAGTTCGATCCCAGGTACCAAAAAAAACCCACCAAAAACATAAATTATTGATTGATTTAGACAGAGGTGTCACTGTGTAAGGCTGGCCTTTTAACTCACCGTGTGGCCCAGGCTGGCCTCGAACTCACAGCAATCCACCTGCCTCAGCCTCCTGAGTGGTGGGATTACAGGCATGTGCCACCATGAGGGACTACCTTGGCCCTAAACTGGTATGGCCCCTTTGGGTTCCCATACAGGATTTCTTGGCAGGTATGATGAGTGGGTGCTGGAGGCAGAGGGGGGGCCCCAGGCAGTCAGGGCAGGAAATCCACCCTGACCATCAGTAGGCACAGCACGAGCAGGCCTCCTTCAGAGTAGTGCCTTGAAGCCCAGGCACCTGCTTCCACCGGGTTGTCTGCATTAAGGAAGTGCTACTTCATCAGCTGACAACATAGTGTTTTAGAAAAAAGTGCTACAGTTCCAAGAATATCTTATTTTCTAAAAGCAAAGCAGTAAACCACTTTCTTTGGAACTCTGAACAAAAAAGTGACTCCAGTGTTTTTCATTCACATGACTTTGAATTACTTTACTGCCAGGTGGTCTTACTTGAACTTCTGTTTTGTTTTGCGGCAGTACCAGTGATTGAACCCAAGGCTTCATGTTCTACCATTGATCTACATTCCCTTTAAAATTTTTAATTTAAAATTTAAATGCTAAAGTTGGCCAGGCTGGGCTCAAACTTGAGATCCTCCTGCTTCAGCCTCCCATGTAGCTGGGATTATAGGTGTGCAGGACTGTATCCAGCTGACTTCTTCACTTTATTGCTTAACCATGTTCAGACAACATACGAAGAACATTAAACAGCTGAGAATTTATTTTAATAGTCTCAACAGAGTTTGTCTTCCAGTGATGCCTGGCTTCTCAAGTAGTGGGACTACTTTCCCATTGAAAAGGGTCCCTCACCTTTGGTACCAATCAGCCTTAAACATCCATTTATCCTCTTAGGTTAGTTCCTTACCCGTGGGGCATGTGTGTGTATTGGTAACTAGGTCAACTCTTTTATCCTGTTTGCCTAATAATTACCTAAATTCCATACCTCTACTCTCTGCTCAAACTTTTGTATATCCTTATTCTTACAGAATATCCACATTTTCACCCCGTACTGGGTGGAGTTTTCTGATTCATCATGGATAATCTGTCACACGAAGACATTCAGCTGAGGGCTAACCAGCTCACTGATGAGGTGAGTAAATAATTGATTCTATTTCAGTTTTCACAGTGGAGAAATGACACAGCCTTCCTAGAGCTCGTTTTAGCCTCTTCCTGGTCCTTGTATATCAAAGAATGCCTTTGTCCCATAGTACCATCACTAGCCCTTTTTTTTCCCCCAACTCTCAGAAAAACTGCGTAAGTGAAAATAATTTTTATGATTTTTTTAAAAATTTAGGTAGTCATTACTAAATAGTTCCTTGCAACAAAGATACTCTAAACTTTTTTTGTTTTTTGGGGGGGGACAGGGTCTCCCTTTGTAGTTCAGGCTGGCCCTTAACTCACTATGTAGCCCAGGTTGCTACAAACTCGAAGCAATCCTCCTACCTCAGCCTCTTAAGTGTTGGGATTATAGGCATGCACCACCGTGCCTGGCTAAACTTTCATTTTTATTTAACAATTTCCTGGTAGGTGTGTAATATACTTAGATTTCTGCCAATATTAAATTTTTATGTGCTCTATTAACCCTACCATCTAAATTTTCTCTTAAAGAGCATCGGGCAGGAAGAAAATAACTAAAAAATGTTGACCAACTTTGTTTTGTTTTAAAGAGAAGGATGGCCTGGCAGCTTTTAAAACAGAGTAGCTTTCACATCATGAATGTGGCCTATGAGCTGTTTTTGTTTGTTTGTTTTCTCTACATATTTTGGAATGTTAAAACTCTGCTTTTTTCCTAGTCTCTGGAGAGTACGAGGAAAATCCTGGGCTTAGCCATTGAGGTAAGAAGTGTTTAGTTATCATGTTAAATACAGAAATTTATAGGAGGGATCCTAATAGCACAAACTGGAGTTGGTGTTAAAGGGTACTGTAGCAGTACCTTTCATTATTTGAAACCAGAAGTTGCTGAAATTAAGCCGTACACTAACAGGCCATTTCTGGTTTTTCCCTTTGACAGTATTAGAGTATGACAGGGAAGATGAATTCATCATGACTTTGTGACAATTGTTTGGGGGAATTAATATATTAAAAGTGTGTTGGTTTAACACTCGAGTTTCTAAATGATTCTTTCTATTTGTCAGTCTGCACATTTTGTTTCTGTTATTTTGGGTTTGTTTTTCTGTATTATCAGCTTTCCCTCTCTTCTTTCAGTCTCAGGATGCAGGAATCCAAACCATCACCATGCTGGATGAACAAGGGGGTAAGTTGAAATCATTGGTAGAAACTCTCTGCGATATACAGTGCCCAAAAGCCCTGTCAATCCCCTACTCATCAATTCGGGAGTGTCTTCCTTTGTAAGATAAGAGGGATATGTTTCCTTCCTTTCTTCTGATTTGAATTATATCACTTTCCTTGCTGGTTTGGGATGAGAGGCAACAATGCCCAGCTGTCTACCAGATACGTGTTAAGCCAGGATGGCATATTGGGGGCATTGGTTATGAAGATTAGACATGATTTTTTTTTTTTGGTACTGGGAATCGAACTCAGGACCTTGCACTTTCCAGGCAGGTGTGCTGCCACTGAGCTAAATCTCTGGCCCCAGTGATATTCTTGCATCATCCCCAGCAAACAAGTTAAGTGGAAAAGCAAGTCTAAATTCAGATGAGCCTAGAAAAGATATATTCCGTTAGAGCTAGGTCTGGTGGCACACACCTGTAATCCCAGCCCTTGGGAGGCTGAGCCAGGAAGATTGGAGTTGGAGGCCAGCATGTACTACATAGGGAGCTCAAGGCCAGCCTGAACTACATAGTGAGATCCTATCTCAAACATTTAAAAAAGGGGCCGGGGATGTAGCACAGTGGTTCTGCCGCCTGCCTGGGGATGTAGCACAGTGGTTCCGCCGCCTGCCTCAAAAGCTCAAAACCTCAAGGTTCCAAGTTCGATCCCCAGTACCAAAAAAAAAAGAAGCTGGGTGTGGTGGAGCATACCTTTAATCCCAGCACTCAGGAGGCTGAGGCAGGTGGATTGCATGAGTTTGAGGCCAGCCTGAGTTACATAGTGAGTTGAAGGCCAGCATGTCTCAAAAAAACCAATCAATTGATTGATCAATCAGTAGAAAAGAAAAAAAAGAAATATTTGATTTGAGTTGGCCCTTGTAATGTGTTCTAGTTTTTATTAGTCTTGTGACAGCCTGCAGGTTTTGAGCCCATTAAGTGGTAGAAATACTGGGAATTTGGTCTGGTCAAAATATACTTAACTTGGTTGCAAGGGTACCTTTGAACCACCCTCCCAAGCTCATGCTCCTGGTGTACATACTTCTTTTCTTTTCTTTTTCTTTTCTTTTTTTTTTTTATGAGACAAGGGCTCACCACATAGTTCATGCTGGTCTTGAACTAATTATGTAGTCCAGGCTGGCCTCAAACTTGTGGTGGTCCACCTGCTTCAGCCTCCTGAGTGCTGGAATTATAGACATGCACACCACACCCAGCACAAATTTCTTTAGAATAGATCTTTCTATAGTGAGAGGTCAGATGCTACAGGATCAGTATGGAAAAGAGCCTTTCATGTTGAATGGTTTGTAATATCTTCTGACACTGATGTATTCACTATGGCAGGTTATTGGTAGATTTGAGGTTAATGTTTGGAGCTCTATAATATAGGATATTCTGGTTGAGACTGTAAATGTAATACAAAATTTAACTCCCACAACTCATTCTTAGAACAACTAAACCGCATAGAAGAAGGCATGGACCAAATAAATAAAGACATGAGAGAGACAGAGAAGACTTTAACAGAACTCAACAAGTGCTGTGGCCTTTGTGTCTGTCCATGTAACAGGTAAGTTGATAAGTCAAGACCTTTTAAAAGAAAGAAGGGAAGGAGGAAGGGTGGATGGAATCCCTGCCCTCTAACCCACAGGCTCCTTACCCAAGTAAGGTCAGAAATATGATTAGGCCTAAATGAGGAACTTTGATATAGACAAATTAAGATATTTTTCCTTCAGTTTAGCTTGGTAGTTCATGCCTATAATCTCAGCACTCTGAGAGACTGAGGCAGGAGGATCACAAGTTTCAGCCCAGCCTAGGCAATCTAGTAGCTTAGGAAAACCCTGTCTCAAAATTAAAAAAAAAAAAAAAAAAGGAGGCCTGGGGATGTAGCTCAGTGCAAAGGCTCTGGGTTCAATTCCCAGTACCATCAAAAAAAGTTCTCAGCCAGGCATGGTGGTGCATGTCTGTAATCCCAGCACTCTTAAGAGACTGAAGCAGGAGGATTGCAAGTCTCAACATTTAAAAAATGGAATTAAAAACAAGAGCTGGAGATGCAGTTCAGTGGGAAGGTTCAGTCCTCAATATGAGGGAAAAAAATCTTCGGCCAGATTTTTTTTTTTTTTTTCATATAAATAGAACCATTCACAGAAAACTATGCCTTAAATCTGACCAGTCTTGCCTAGGATGAAGTCCCAATTTTAATTTATACATGGAACGGTAGGGAATATATACATCTGGATGATATAGAACAGGATGAAATAAGGAGTATTAACACAGTGTGTATTCTGCCACAGGCACATGAGAGATGGCCAGGGAAGTGAAGGACTGGGGTACTGTCTTTAAAAGACTTGACATGTGCCTGTCATACAGGAAAGAACAGCAGAGACATAAATCAGTGTTAGATCAATGTGATACTGACGGGGGTCTAGAGCTGACGAAAGTTAGATTAGAGAATATCATGGAGGAAGTAGACATGAGCTGGGCTTTGAGTGAACATGGAGCATGAAGGGACCTGGAGGAATATAAGCCGAGTGGGAGGCATTGGGTTCAATCCCCAGGGACTGAACAGATAAAAAGGGGAGGGAGAGGGAGGGCATTTCCTGTGGAAGGTTCAGAGTAAACAAACAGTAAAGAAGAGCTTGACCCAGCTAAGCTGCATGATTCATGTAGATGAGAAATGGAAAATAAGAAGCAGGTAGTGGAAGAAACCAAACTAGGAGTTGGTAAATTGAACCATGTGACCTTACCCCATAAGCTAGTTGAAAACCTTTTATAATCTAGAGTGAGACTCTGAGGTGAGACTTTATCAGCAAGATAGGGAGGAAAGTGTAAATGAAGGAGAATTCATAAGCAATATAAGAGGAAACTGACTGCGTTAGCAATATAAGAGGCAAGAATCAAAGGTGGCCGGAGATTTGGAGTCTCCAGTACACTAGGAGACGGAAGGTTTTCAAACTGTTTCTGTATATCGCATGAGATCATGCTTGACACGAAGGAATTCACTCTTTTTAATTAATCTGTTGTGAATATTTACATTCTCTACTTATCTATGTTATCTGTGAGTAAACCAAATTCCACAGTGTTACAAATATTGTATGTATTCAGACTAGGATGGAATTTGCACTGAGGGAGTTAACTATTACCTTCTCTTTTGTTAGGAGTTCATTTGTGTTTTTTAAAAATCATTAACGAAGCAGTTTTGAACTTTACTCTTAGTTGAGATGACAGTGTCTGGAGATTGTAACTGTACTTACTGCTGAAAGGGTTTGTTTTTAAAGTGCTTCATAAACATCAGCCCTTCCATCCAGTTGTCTCAAGTGGTCTGGTAAATCAACAGTTCATGCAAAGGTTTATAACTCTCAGCATTTCTTTCCTCAAAGGAGTTAGGAATAGTAGTGCTTTTGTTAAACTGTCATATTTTCAGATAAATGTTTTCATGTGACAACATTTTCTGTGCCATTTCTGTTAGATAAAATAGTTAAGTTGCTTATTGGTCAACCGTAGATTTTGTTTTAGCCATGAGAAATTAAGATTTGACAGTGTTCTTCCTAGCCTAGTCCATTGGCTTTCTATCTTAATACAAATACATTGATCTGTTTAGACTTTGGTTGACTCTCTAACAATCAACTGTGGTTTACCAGTCAAGGTTTATACAAGTTACACAGTCAGCAAACAAGTTATCAATGTGGTTTTGTTTGGTTTGGTTTTGGTTTTGGTTTTTTGAGACAGGATCTTGCTATGTAGTTCAGGCTGGCCTTGAACTCACTGTGTACCCCAGAATGGCCTTGAACTCATATAGCGACTCTCCTGCCTCCGCCTCCTGAGCACTGGGATTACAGGTGTGCACCACTGTGCCCAGAAAATGCACAGATTATTTGCTTTGAACTCTTAGCTGTGTTTTGCAAACTTCCTATGCCTTTCTCCTGTGTTCCATGCTTCCCCTGGGAAGAGTGAAGGGGAAAAAGTGTATGAATTTCTCAGAGATGAAGTGTTAGGGGAAGAGCAAGAAGGAAGAAGTCCTTTCTAGAGTCTAGAGCAGGATCAGCTTTAAGTCTTGCATTGATAAAAGAAAGGGCAGTGCACCCTAAGATAGCCACAAATATAGAAAGTATGGAAATACTGCTGCAGAAGCAGTACTTTTCTTTCTCTTGTGCTCTCAGCCAAGCAGAGGCAAGCTTTTCTTGGACACAGATGGGAGAGGAGGCAGAGTGTAATTCTGAAGCAGCCTGCAGCTCTGCCCTCAGTGGCACCCTGACTCAGAGGATCAGGGGCTGCCATAAAAGAGCAGTGGCCTCCTGAAAAGGGGAGACTCATGTCCCAGTAAGATATCTAATTTCAATAGCCCTTCTTCCATCTACTCTTTTTTTTAGTATTTCGAGACAGGGTCTTGCTATGTAGTCCTGACTGGCCTTGGACCCACCATGTATCCCAGGCTGGCCACAAACTCACAGTGATCCTCCTGCCTCAGTCTCCTGAGTGCTGGGATTACAGGTGTGTGCTACCATGCTTGGATTTCTTATGTGCTAATTTCTGTTTCAGTTAGGCACAACATGTAAACAGCTATAACTTGAGCTTCTCGAAGACAGACACGGGATCCTAGTCCTCTTTGTATAAGGCTAATATTAATTCTGGTAGTAATAAGAACTGGTAGTAGTAACAACACTGGTCCATAATCTGTGTGTCTGTTTCTCTCACTCTTTTTCCTTTTTTTTTTTTTCCAGTACTAGGGATTAAACCCAGGTCTTAGGCTGAGTTACATCTCCAGCCCTTTTTACTTTTTATTTTATTTTTCACTATAAACTTTAATCTATGATATAAAATGCTAAAGACATATCAGAAAACAAAATATAGTGATCAAATTTCATTTTGTAAATAGTTTTGTGGAACAAAGAGATTTCTCTCATACCTGACTTTGTATTGTGTTTTGTTTGCCTTCTGAGAACTGCACTAACAACAAATTATATAAAGAACACATTTTACTTTTTATTTTGAGACAGGGTCTTTCTAAGTCATTAAGTTCCCCAGACTGGGCTTGAGTTTGAAATCCTGCATTAGCTTCCCAGAGTGCTGAGATTAGTGTGCATCTATTCCTCTCTCTCCTCTTTCTCTCATTTTTTTTTCCAGTACCAGAATTGAACTCAGCACCTTGCACTTGGGAAGCAGGCCTGGTGCCACTGAGCTAAGTCACACCCCTCCCCTTTTTTTTTCTTTTGTTTGGTACCGGGGATTGAACTCGGGACCTTGCGCTTTCGAGGCAGGCGACAGAACCACCGAGCTAAGTCCCTGGCCCAGTCCCCCCCCTTTTTTCCAGTACTGGGGATCAAGCTCAGGACTTTGCACTTGCCAGGCAGATGCAGTCTCATTTATTTTCACTTAAAAACTTAAAAAGCTTTTTCTTAGTACATGTTTACAGTACATAGTGACCGCATTCCTTGTAGGGAGTTGGCATATGTACACATCCCATATTAATTCTCTTTCCTTCCCCTTTCCCTCATCTTCTTCCCTCCCCCGCATTGCTTCTCTCTCTTTGTTCAACAGAATAACTAAAGCCATGTTAGCAAATCTTTTTATTTAAGACATGGAGGGCTGGGATGTAGCTCAGCACCACACCTGAAAGCCCCTGAGTTCGATTCTTGGTACTGGAAAAAAAAGAGGACATGGAAATAGCATTATTTAGAAGGAAAATTTAACTGTAGCTGATTTTTTCTAAAGAATGAGTAATAACAGACTACCAGGATTAAAGTTTAAAATTATAGATAAATGCTATTATAACTGAGGCAGGAGGATACCAAATTTAAGCACAGTCTGGGCAACTTAGTGACTTAGTGAGAACTTGTGTCAAAATAAAATATAAAGGGTTATGAACCAGGTGTGGTGGTGCACATCTCAGAAGGCTGACCCGGAGGATCGCTGTTATTTAGGGGGCAGCCTCTGAACTACAAGTGAGACCCTGTCTCTTTTGTTTGTTTGGTTTTTTTTGGTACCAGGGATGGAACTCGGGTCCTTGAGCTTGCATAGCAGGCGGTGAAACCACTGCGCTAAATCCACCCTGTCTCAAAAGGGGAGAGGGTGAATGCAATTCAGTCAGAAGACCCTGGGTCAATTCCTGTACCACACACAAAAAAGAAAGAAAGCATGGGTTAGCTTGCTGCATTTGAATTCAAAAAGTAAAGTAGTGCAGATCCTTTTTGCTAAAGTCTTGTATGAATTCTTTATTTTGTATATATTTTCTTTTTTCCTCTCACTGTATCTTTTTTTTTTTTCCTTTTTTGTTATTGTGCTGAGTATTGAATCCAGGGCTCTCACATGTACCATTGAGCTACAACCCAAGCCCTTTTTTTTGTTGTTGTTCTGAGACAGAGTCTCACTATGTTGTCCAGGCTGACCTTGAACTTGAAATCCTCCTGCCCCAGACTCTCAAGTAGCAGGATTACCAGGGACCATGCCTGGCTTTAACCCTATACTTTTGACAGTAACTCATTAGTTGTAATTCTAAGTAACAGGAGTTTACAAAGAGGCAGATCTGGGAAGTCTCAGAGTAGTAAACTCCTTGATGTCCCAGTTAAACCATTCTTAGTAAGATATTATTCTGTCTTAACTTGCCTCTCTTATAGTGATGATAAAGTCTATAAATATAGAGCTGGGCACAGTACCACAGGCCTGTAATCCCAAGTAATTAAGAGGCTGAGACAGGAGGATTGCAAAATTGAGGCCAGCCTGGGTGACTTAGTGAGTCCTTGTCTCAAAATGAAAAAAGGGTTTGAGGTATGGCTCAGTGTTAGAGTGCATAAAGTGCATGGCCCAGGGTTCAATATCCAGCTTGCAGGAGAAAAAAGTCTAACATAATGGCATCTAGTTTGAAGCAAAATTAGTATTTCTGGATCATTTGAAATGAAGTTCAAAATTGTACCATAGGTTTTCTACTGTAAAATTTCAGCTATGTGTGATTGAAATAAATATTGAATTTATTTCATTTGACAAGTGCTCCCTCTGACCTACTTACTGAAGAGGCAAAGATGAGTAAAGTGTATCTGTGGCCCTGTCTGTTTATTTATAATTACTTTACCTTTTTATGTCTCACATGGTATCTGATACATATTCAGTAAATATTTGTAAATCGAATGTTTTTGAGAAACTTGTTGGCTGGTGGGAAAATGAGACATATAAAAAGATTTTTTAAAATTACACTGCACATAGCACTGGGGATTTAGCTCAGTGGTTCCGGTGCCTGCCTTGAAAGTGCAAGGTCCTGAGTTCGATCACCGGTACCAAAAAAAATTATAGTGCAAATAAAATATGTATAGTAATTAAAAGAAATCTGTATTCCCAAAGGAGTGAGGAAGTTTTACAATGTCGCCATTAGTATTTGCCTTCTCTCATAATTTCTGTAGTTTTAAGAAATGAGGGCCGGGGATTTAGTTCAGTGGTATCACCGCCTGCCTTGCAAGCACGAGGTCCTGAGTTCGATCCCTGGTACAAAAAAAAAAAAAGAAAAGAAAAGAAATTATATGATCACCTAAACATTTTAAGGAAAAGTGAAGCGTGCTTTGTTTTATTTATTTATTTATTTATTTGGTACTGGACATGGAACTCGAGTCCTTGTTCTTGCTCAGCAGGCAGCGAAACCACTGAGCAAAATCCCCAGCAAAGCGTGCTTTGTTTTAAATAGTTCTCTTCTTTTTGTCTAGATTCTCAGATGTGGGTTGTTTCTGTGAAACCAGGCAGGAATTGGAATGTGTTATATTTTTAAACCTGTTTCTGTTCTGTTTGACTGGCATTTACTGTTTTCTACATATCATTCTCTGACTAATCTCTTCCTTTCTAATCTGCTTACTAAAATGAAGATTTTAACATTGAAGCCGGGCTCAGTTACTGATGAGAGGGAGCTCTCTAAGATGCAGTCTTGTGGCGAAGTGTGGGCTGCTAACCTGCTCTTTCAAGGTGATGCTTCAGTGGCTTTGCTGTGCATGTGCATGGTTCTGTGTATGGTGGAGACTGTAAAACTGTGCCGTGCTGTGTAATGTAAAGTGAATTGGCTCTCCATGGGTGCTGACAAAAGGTGGACTTGGTGGAAGAATCTTACTGTATAAAAATGCCCTTTGGGAAAAAAAAATGTACTTTGGCTAATGGCTAACTTACGTGTTCTGCTAGATGACATTGCTATTACCAAAATAAAAACACTTCTCAAGTCTCCTGAGTTTGAAATAGGTTGTATTTATAGACAGTGGCTGCAATCTAGTTCATATCAAAGGTAAAAAAAATTCAGGCTAAATGCCTCTTTCCCAATAGGACTTTGATTTCTAGTTCCTTAATCAAGATTTTCTTTTCTAAAGTGTTGCTTCTAATGATTGGGATTCTCCATGATTTAGGCCACTGCCAAGTCAAGAAATTAATTGCCAACCTAGTCATACTAAATCCTATTGAGAATAAGATGGGATATTCTTTTTTAAAATTCTGGCCAGGCATTGTGGCACACGTCTGTAATCCCATCACGTGGGAGGCTGAGGCAGGAGGATCACCTTGAGTTTGAGGCCAGCCTGGGCTACTTAATGAGCTCAAGGTCATCCTGAACTACGTAGTGAGACCTTCTCTCAAAATAAATAAATACAAATTTAAAAAATAAAATAAAGATCTCCCCTCTACACATAATTTGTTCTATAATTCCTATTACATGACATGTTAGTTTGCCATAATTTTGTGTTGAATTAATATAGAACTCTTAATTTTTTCATGAGAGTTAACTCTTTAGTTACCTTACTGTATATTGTAATGTCTGCCTCCTTGATTTTGGATCTTTATGAAAGTGATAAAGACTGATTAAATGTAAAAACATGAAGTATCTGAATGTTCCCTTTATTTTCTGCCTTTGTTTTCCTTACAGTGCAATCATCTAACACTCTGATATCACTCTTTCCCCCTTCCTCCCTCTATTATTACAATTAATATTTGTACAGTCGCCTTTCTCTATAATATAAAATAATACTAGGTAATATTTGACTTTCCTTTTGTTGTTTTTATTCAGTGCTAACGATGACAGCCAGAACTAGGGGAAAAAATTTAAGTTTTTGTGCCTATGTCTTCATACTTTATATTTTCTGCTTTTATAGCAGCTTCTTGAATGAATTAAGGATTATTTCAAATCCTTTTTTTAACCTTGCCATTCTTAATAAATAAGACATTTGGGCCGGGGATTTAGCTCAGTGGTTCCGCTGCCTGCTTCGCAAGTGCAAGGTCCCGAGTTTGATCCCTGGCACTAAATAAATAAATAAATAAATAAATAAGGCATTGAAATGAAAAAAAGTAATGGCTATAGATTATTAAATTCTACCTGGGTGTGGTGGCCCATGGTTGTAATCCCAGCACTCTGGGAGGCTGAGGCAGGATGCTTCCAAATTTGAGCCTAGCCAGGGCAATTTAGCAACTTAGTGAGATCCTGTCTAAAAATAAAATAGGGCTGGGGATGTAGGTCATTGTGAAGGCCTTGGAGTCAATCCCCAGTACTTGAAAAAAATTAGATTTCTGAAAACTAACAATTGGGTATAAAACTTTAACTATAAATCTCCTGCTTTTCAGATGGAATTTTTATCTCATTAGAATGTATTATAAATTTGATTAAACATTTTGTCACATAGGCTAGTTTCTTCCTAGAAGGGGCTATAAATTTTATCCTGCAAGAGCTTGTCAGGTCAGAACCGTGTTTTCTTAAAACAACCTAGAATTAGCCATATTCCAACTATATTTAGCTACAAATAGATCCTCAAAACTAAGGTGTGTCAATGAGTGAAAAAGTAAACTCACTCACTGGCAATCTGTACACATAGAGACATGAACTGTAAGGTGTGGGTAGAGCTGAGGTTGAAACCTTGATAAACCAGGGGGCCACAAGTCTACTAACCCTAATTCAGGCAGAATTTTAACATCAAAATAAGTCAGTTGGGTCTGGGGATGTAGCTCAGTGGTTCCAGCACCTGTCTCACAAGCTCAAGGTCCCGAGTTTGATCTCCGGTACCAAAAAAGAAACAAAACAATAAGTCAGTTGGAACTACACTGGTTCAATTAAGAGAGGGCAAAGAATGGTGTTAAACTATTACCTATTCAACTATTACCTTACTCTGCTATCCTTTAGCATCCTGAGATCCCTTCAAAGAACCTCTTGTGGCATCCCTGAACACTTTTTTTTTTTTTAACTGTCCATTAACCCCCAAGGAACCTTAAAAATCAAATAATTGCATTTTACTACTTGCTATAGCTTAGTGAAGATTTGGATCTTTTAAAAATGATTTAGAGCCAGGACCAGGGATTTAGCTCAGTGGTTCCCGCCTGCCTTGCAAATGCAAGGTCCCAAATTCGATCCCTGGTACCAAGAAAAAAAAAAGATTTAGAGCCAAGTGTGGTGGCACATGCCTATAATCCCAGCACTTGGGAGGCTGGGACAAGAGGATCCCTCAGAGTTTGAGGCCAGCCTGAGCTACGTAGTGAGACTCTGTTTTAAAAATTAAAACAAAAAGATTTCATATCAGTGAGTTTACACAGTTTGTCCTATATTGCATGAGGCAGAGGTAGTCTAGATTTAGCTGTGTGCAGTTTTTCTGCTAACGGTGTTAGGGACACACTTAAGGCAATGAGCATTAATAATTACAACTCTCCCTCTCTTGCTTTCTGGGGTTCTACACCATAGGACGAAGAATTTTGAGTCTGGCAAGGCCTATAAGGCAACGTGGGGAGACGGCGGAGGCAACTCACCGAGCAATGTGGTATCGAAGCAACCAGCCCGAGTCACAAACGGCCAGCCTCAGCAGCCAGCCAGTGGTGCAGCCAGTGGGAGATACATTAAACGGTATGCCAGGTCCTCCCATGTTCCACACCTTTCCTAGTGACTGCTGCTCATTTAGGAGCTATGAGTGCACCCTGTCTCACCAGATAGAGATAATACTTGTTCCATTAAAGCTGCTTTTAAATACCTGCCATCTGACAAAATGTTGACTGTGATTATTGTCCAACTTTATGCTTTTCAAGGTATTAATGTAGACCTGCTTACTTTTATAAAATGTTTCAAGATATATTATCTAGTGCAGGGGTTGGTTGAATTCTTTTTCTTTTTTTTTTTTTGGTACTGGGGATCGAACTCGGGACCTTGTGCTTGCAAGGCAGGCACTGGAACCACTGAGCTAAATCCCCAGCCCGGTTGAATTCTTCTAAGGATATTAGTTAAGGGCCAGGTAGTAATTGTTTCAAATTCATAGAGTTATATATATAGTCTTTGTTGCAAGCACTCAACTCAGTTATAAGATGAAAGCAACCAGAGACAATATGTAAAAAAACAAGAATGACAGAAGCCAGGTGTGGTGGTGCACTCCTGAAATCACAGCACTGGGGAGGCTGAGGCAGGAGTACCAGCTTGAGTTCAAGGCCACCCTGAACTACATAGCAAGATCCTGTCTCAGAGGCAGAGATGGTACACTACTGTAATCTCAGCTATTCAAGATGCTGAGGCGGGAGGATCGTAAGTTCAAGGCAATTTAGTAAGTCCCTGACTCAAAGTAAAAAAGGGTTGGAATGAAGCTTAATGGTAGAACTCTTGCTTAGCATGCTCTAGGACCTGAGTTTAATCCGTAGTACCACCACAAAGGAAAAAAAAAACATTTGAGGGTTTATTAAAACAGAGTGAGAGCCGGGGATTTATCTCAGTGGTCCTGCCACCTTCCTCACAAGTGTAAGGTCTCGAGTTTGATCCCTACTACCAAAAAACCCCTAAAAAAACCTGGAGGAATGGGGCTGGGTATTTAGCTCAGTGGTTCCACTGCCTGCCTTGAAAGTGCAAGGTCCCGAGTTCGATCCCTGGTACCAAAAAAAAAGAGTGAAGCTGGGCTTGGTGATGCACCCCTTAACCTAGGTGCACACCTCCAGGAGGTAGAGGCAAGAAGATCACAGGTTTAAGGCCAGCTGAGCTACATAGCAAGACCCTGACTCAAAAAAACAAAAAATCAGCTGGGTGTGATGGCACATGCCTATAATCTTAGCATTTGGGAGGCCGAGGCAGGAGGATTGCAGTGTGTTTGAGGCCAGCCTGGGCTACATAGTGAGTCCAAGGCCAGCCTGAACTACATAGCAAGACCCTTTCTCAAAAAACACCCCCAAAACAAACAAAAAAACAGATTGAGCTGGTAGTGTAGACATGCTTCTATAGTCCTAGCTACTTGGGAAACTGAGGCAGAAGAATTGCTTGAACCCAGGAGTTCAAGGCGAGCCCAAGCAACATGGCAAGACCCCTCTAAAAGAAACAATAAAATCAAGATTGGTGGGATCCATTCCCAGTTTCTGATTGAGTAGTTCCAGGATGGAGTGTAACAACTAGCAGGTTCCTGTGTTTTAACAGGTACCTAGGTGATGCTGGGAATCACAGTTTTAAACTATAGAATATTTCCCCAGAATAGCAGCCTTGGATTGGAAATCTTCCTGGATTTAACACTTGTTGAGCATCATTTTGGCTACTTATTTTTATGAAAATTAATTCCAGAATTAGACCATTGTATTGTAACAAAAAGTACTGAACTAACTGTCTATTTCTGGTAGTATAACTAATGACGCCAGAGAAGATGAGATGGAAGAAAACCTGACCCAAGTGGGCAATATCCTGGGAAATCTAAAGAACATGGCCTTGGACATGGGGAATGAAATTGAAGCTCAAAATCGACAAATAGACCGGATCACAGAAAAGGTAAAACGCTTTTATGGCCACATGAAAATGAGATCTTCAGTGAACGTTTTAGGAATGGCCCTCTGTGATAGGTCCAGTGGGGGAGAACAGCAGGAGACGTTCTTTTCTGTACAGGACATAGAGTTTTGATGAGTTTTGGTGAAGAGCTTTTAACATACTGAAAAACAGAAGCCAAGTCCTCCCATCTCACTTGGTTCATTTTTTTTTTTTGGTACCAGGGATCGAACTTGGGACCTTGCACTTGCAAGGCAGGTGGCAGAACCACTGAGGTAAATCTGTGGCCCCCTCACTTGGTTTATTTTGAAGCCACAGTCTTGGAATGAGGTTGTTTTCTTTAAACTTTGACACATAGGGCCGGGGATTTAAATCAGTGGTTTCACTGCCTGCTACGCAAGCACAAGGACCGGAGTTCGATATCCGGAACCAAAAATAAATAAATAAATAAATAAATTTTTTAAAAAACTTTGACACATAAAGCTTAGAATCTACTGTAGCAGTTGAGTGTCTTCCCCCACACTTTGCCACTGGCTATTAGCTTTTAGTTTTACTGTGTTTGTTTTGAGACAGAGTCTTGCCATACAGTTCAGGCTGGCCTTGAATTCACTATGTAGCCTTGCTGCTATCCTCCTGCCTCAGCCTCCCGAGTGGTGGGATTACAGGCGTGTGCCACCGTGCCCAGCTGGTTTTATTGTGTTAAGTACTAATTTAGTAATAAGTTCCAGAAGTCACATCTCAGGAAAGACCAAGAAGCAGTTCTACAGAATAGTCCTTGAACAGCACAAAATAATCATGAGAGTAAAGAAAAATTGTGATTCCTTTTATTTTAACTTTACATGATATAAAAGATACTGAAAGACCAATTGTTTTCAGTGTTTGGATGAATCAAATCTAAATTCCATACTTCAAAACCAGGCATGGTGGTACACACCTAAAATTCCAGCACTCAGGAGACAGAGGCAGGAGGATCACTGCAAATTCAAGGTCATCTTGGACTACATAGAGAGACCCTGTCTCAATCAATCACTCACTCACTCAATCAATTAAATTAAAAATAAAAGATTTAAGAAGCCATTGATTATAAGATACATCTCAGTTTCAGACATGTTAAACTATGGAAAAATGCATCATAGCTGGGGATGTAGCTCAGTAGTGCCGTGCTTGCCTGGCAAGCACAAGGTCCTGAGTTCGATTTCCAGTACTGGAAAAAAAATACATTATAGGGCTGGGGATTTAGCTCAGTGGTTTTGCTGCCTGCTGTGCAAGCACAAGGACCTGAGTCCGATCCCCGTTACAAAAAAAAAATATGTTATAGAATTGATAAAATACTGTTGTAGCACACACCTGTAATCCCAGCACTTGGGAGGTTGAGGCAGAAGGATCACTATGAGTTTGAGGCCAGCCTGGGCTACATAGCAAGTTTGAGACTCTGTCTCATAAAACCAAAGGGGAAAAAAAAGAATTGATAAGATACTGGATAATTCTTCTGTTACACCTTTGTTATGTTTATATACTAGGGTTTTTCAAAACAGATTTCATATTCTGGTCACTTCTTTTTTTTAATGGTGCCAAAAAATTTATTTGAAAAGTGCAGTTAAGTGGGTCGGTACGGGAGAAACCAGCTCTGCAGAGCAAACTTGGGCCAAAGAGAAAAAGGGTAAAAAGCAAAAATGAAAGTACACACCACATTCAGATGTGGTGCCAGCTATCCTGCAAACTCACACGATAGCCCCAAAATGAGTTTTGTAATGTAACTTAAAGTGCTTCTTGTGTTTTCTCAGTGTGTCGATTGCTCCAGGTTTGTAAAGCTTAGCTTTTTCCCTGGTGCTGAGGATTGAACCCAGGGCCTTACCCTTGCACAGCATGCATTCTACCACTGCACTATATTCCTAGCCTAAATCTTACTTTTACTAAAATGGTTTACCTTGTGAAGTAATGGTGACTATCTTTTTCTCTTTTCCAGGCTGATACCAACAAAGATCGTATTGACATTGCCAATACCAGAGCAAAGAAACTCATTGACAGCTAAAGCTACTGCTGTATTGCGTTACCATTTATTCACTTCTCTAGCTGTTCCTCCTACACCATTGTCTTTTCAGAGTTGGAAATTTTGATCTCACACTGCACTAATCAGGAGATAATGTAGAAGAGGGGCCAGTGTAGTAATAGCCTCCCTGCTTTATTTTTTGTTTCCCTTGAGGGTAGACTACTGCCGGCCTTCGCTAGTCTGTTTCTCTTCGTGCTCTTAGAGTGGTTTTCATCTAGTAGGAAAGGAGAAGCATCGCCCTCTTCAGGAAGGAAGAACCTCCGCAGGTTCTTTTGCTTTCAAGATTTGGAAGCACTGCCAAAGACAGCCGTAAAGAAGGCACCTGTGGAAGTATTTTTTGTTTTTGTTTGTTGACTTTGGTTTGTAGTAGATGAAAGAAAAGAGAAAAGAGGTTTTTACCTCAGTAAAAATAAGCAGGCCACAAAAAAACAAAAAGCTGCGTAGCCACAGTAAAGATCTAGCGATGTTTAGTTTTTTATTTAAGTTACAGTTTTTGCCAGTTAAGGATAATGCTTGGTTTTGAAACTTTTATACACAACATCTTCATCCTACATCACCATTTTGTAACCCCTGCCTCAAAGAGTAGAATAAAATGAGGGGTTTTTTTAATAAATGCTATTTTATCCCACCCCCCCAGGCCCCTTCCCCTCCCTATATACAAAAGCCTTGTTTCCATAAAATGAATTCTTTTTCTAAGTAAGCTCAGCTGGGCATGGTGGCGCATGCCAGAAATCCCAACAATGGAGAGGCTGAGGCAGGAGGATCACTGCAAGGCCAGCCTGGCTACGTAATGCGTTCAGGGCATTTTGAACTCTAGAGATTCATGCATGTACATAGATTCTGTGATTCCCAATTCATATTGCACATACAGGAACACTTGTACAGACGAGTGGCTTTTTATTTGCATTATTGGTAGTAGTATCACAGTCCTGTTACAGACCTATTATCCACATAAGCTTGTTACTAGTCTTTGAAGAAAAAAATGTAAATATTTATGTCTAACACAAGAATCTCTAAATCAAGGCTTAACTTCTTTTGGAAAAATTTAACAGAGTTGCCAGGGATTTAGCTTAGTGGTTCCGCTGCCTGCCTCGAAAGCGCAAGGTCCCGAGTTCCATCCCTGGTACCAAAAAAAAAAGAAAAATTTAACAAAGTGTGTGAATTCAGATTTACCTCAGTGCTAAGAATCATGTTTAGATAAGAAACAAAACTGGACCGGGGGTTTAGCTCAGTGGCACCATGCCTGCCTTGCAAGTACAGGGTCCTGTGTTTGATTCCTGGTACCAAAAAAAAGGAAACAATTTTTTTTTTTTTTTTTTTTTTTGGTACCGGGGATCTGCTTGTGAGGCAAGTGCTGGAACCACTGAGCTAAATCCCTGGCCTGGAAACAATTTATTTTGATCTCAGGTAGAAAAATAGATTTCTTTGAGTTTTATATAGCTTTATATGTTTAAAAGTTGCAGTGGTATTCTCTCATTAAAAGTGATTTAGAAACTACACCTTTGGTTTAATTATTAGTAATTTTGCTGTTGTTCTCTTAACCTTGTATAGTGAACTATGTCCAGAATTGAGTTTTATGTAGGTCCCAAACAGTATTATGGAGTATAATCAGTGTCTGTCCCCTTTCTTTAAAAACTAGCATCTGCACACTTCCGAGCTGTCAGTGTGGGTTGGTTCCACCAGTATCCACTGTTTCTTACCATTAAATTTTGTAACTAACTAGTGGTATTATTTGTTCAAATGGGTAACTTGTTTCTTTGCCTGTTGTTTTTTGTTTTGTTTTGTTTTGTGTGCCTTTTGTTTTGGAGGCAATAATTTTATAAGCTTTTGTTTTATAAACTGAATAAAGCAGAATTCTGTAAATCTAAAAGCACTTCAAGCCCAATGTGGTGATATACACTTGTAGTCCCAGCTACTTGGGAAACTGAGGCAGGAGGATCACAAGTTCAAGCCCAGCCTGGGCAATTTAGCAGTCTTGTCTGTAAAGCAAAAAGAGGTTGGACTATAGCTTAATACCATAGCACTTGCCTATCATACATGAGGCCCTGGGTTCAACCCCCAATACTGCAAAAAGACACCCCCCCCCAACGAAAATACTCCAATATATAGCCACCATTGGCTTCTTTCCAATTTTTTTATTTTTTTGGTACCGGGGATTGAACTTAGGACCTTGCGCTTGCAAGGCAGGCACCGGATCCACTGAGCTAAATCCCCAGCTACTTTCCAATTTTTATTAGAAATATTTTCAGGAGCTGGATATGGCTGCACAATTCTTTTTTTTTTTTTTGGTAGTGAGGATCAAATTCAGGACCTTGCACTTGGCAGGCTTTGAGACAGGGTCTCTCATGACAGTCCTCTTGTCTAAGCCTTCTAAGTGCTGGGATTACAGGCATGCGCTACCACACCCAGAAGCTGCACAGTTCTATAACCCCAAAACTGAGAAGGCTGAGGCAGGAGGATTGAAAGTTCAGTGCCAGTATTGGTTACATAGCAAGATCTTGTCTCAAAGAAGTATTACAGGACTTTCTATGATTTGTCGTGAGTTTATTTTAATCATTACTAGTCTTATTGATTTATTTTGTTGTTATTGTTTTGGCCTTGGTTTGTGGTAAGTGAAGGACAAGAAAAGAGGTTGTTGCCAGACATGGTAGTTCACACCTGTAATCCCAGAATTCTGGAGGCTGAGGCAGGAAGGTTGCAGCAAGTTCGAGGCCAGCCTGAGCTATATAGTGAGTTCAAGGCTAGCCTGACTTACAAGAGTGAGACCTTGTCCCCAAAAAAAGTGGAGGGAGAGGGAAGAGGTTATTACCTCAGTAAAAAGTATGCAGGCCGCAAAATAAAATGTCACATGGTTACAATAAAGGTCTAAGCATGTTTAGTTTTTTATTTAAGTTGCAGTTTTTGCCAGTTAAGGATAGTGCTTAGTTTTGGAAATTTTATACATAATATTTTTTTATTAGTACATGTTTGAAGTGCATAATGAACACATTCATCATGGGGAATTTGTACATGTACATAATACATCTTAATTGTTTTTGTCCCCTTCCCTTTCCCTCCCTCCAACCCTTCCCTGCCTCATTTCTAAAAGTTCTATTTCCATTTTTTCCCCTTCAGTTCTTTCTTTTCTTTAGATTTCTCTTCTCCCCTCCCCCATCTCGTTCTCCTTGCCATTTGAAAAGGTTCTTCCTACTTCCTAAATATCTGTCCTCTGTTTTGCTCCTTATTTATACTTTGGGTTTCTCACAGAAGAGAAACAATGCGATGTTTAAATGTGTGGTTTATTTCACTTAAGAGTATGGCATTCAGGGGCCGGGGATTTAGCTCAGCAGTTCTGCCATCTGCCTCACAAGCGGAAGGTCCCAAGTTCGATGATTATGGCATCCATTTTCTTAAAAATGCCTCAAGTTTCCATTGTATATAAATAATTTTCTTTATCCATCTGTTGATGGGCATATGGGCTGTTTCCACAATTTAGTATTATAAATTATAAATTGTATTGCAATAAACATGACTGTGGTATAATGATTTTTAACTCTTTCAGGAAGATACCTAGAAGGGGAATTATGCACAATATTTTTGTCTTATGTCACTATTTTGCAACTCCTGCCTCAGAGAAGAATACGATGAGTTTTCTTAAAGTAAGCCAGTGATTAAAAGATGATGTTTCTTAGAAGTGTGTGCTAAGGCGCCAAATTGTCTGGATTTAGACTTTAACTTTTGCTGGTTGGAGTTACTCTAAGCTCATTTCTGTGCCTTGTTTTCCTTGTCTGTCAATGAGGCTTAGTGATTCCTGCCTTAGAATATTGTCATGCACAGTGGTAATTCCTGTAAAGCTCTTAGAGTAGTGCCTGGGAAATGTAAGAGCTTAATAAATGACAGCTGCTGATTTCTCTAAGTGGAACGTTTTGTTTGTTTTCAAGATCCCTTTGTGAATTTGATGAAAGACAACACATCTCTTCCCAGAGAAATAGGCCCACAAATGTAAATCTTGCATAAATAAGAATCATTAAGGTCTTGAAAGTCCATCCATGGGTCCCAGGTTGCAGACTTTCTCACAGCTTCTGCTACTGAGAGAACTGGGGCCCTAGGAATTAGGCCCATAATAATGCACTGGAAATGGAAGGTGTTGACATAAAGCCACATTTTCCTCTCCTCTCCTGTAACCTGGGAACTTTGAACTTGGTACTCTCCTGCTTCCACCTAAGTAGCTGGGTTTCTAGGTGTGTACCACCACACCTGATAGGAGAGAGATCTCTGTCCTATATAGCTGTACCTATTTTTTTCTTTGGTTTTAACTCATCTTTTATTTCTACATTTCACCTCTGTATTTTTCTGTGTCCTATATGGATTATGACTCTGTCCTTAGCTTAAATGTGTACATCCCAAAAATCCTATATTGTATATACTTAGAATTAGCCTCTTTAAATGCTGTTTTCCTCATGTTAGTCTCTTACCAAAATTCTAGATTATCCTAGTTACATTCCTAATCAGATTTTTCTCAAATTGATACTCAAATTCCTCATACTCTAGCCATTTTAATCCCTTTAATGCAGTGTCAGCTCCCAGTCTTCTATTCCTTTACAACTTACTGAGTTCTGCTTTGATGTCTTATATATTAGATAAATGGCGTGATTTACTGAGTGCTCATTCTGTTGCGGCACTGTGCTAACTGCTTTTATGTATCTTTTCACCATAACTTTGTGACATCCGTAAGAGGCAGAATGTAGTCCCCATATATATAGATGAGAGTAAATTGCTCAAAAAAGCTATAAATTAAGGACTCTGGATTCAAACCAGGGCCCTTCTGACTCCAAGAATCTGTGTGCTACACTGACTTCTAAATCAAGGTCTGAAATTTTAGTTGACATAGGTTGGTTGGCAAGCTAGAGTCAGGGTTTCTACAAGTCAGTTTACTTGGTTAACTCATAAATTAGCTCATAAATAAGTCTAAATCTTGTTCACTGTAACTTAGGGTCTCTCTCTCTCTCTTTCTTTCTTCCCACTCTATTCTTCAGGCTGGCCTTGAACTTGTGATTCCCCCTGACTCAGCCTCTCAGTGTGCTGGGATGACAGATGTTTGCCACCACACCCATCTGGGCATAGTTCTTTATATAGCCCCTGACCTCCTCATTCAGTCTAGCAAGAGAGAGAAATATAGAATGTGAGAGGTGTCACAGTGGCAGATGGGGGAGCAGTTTACTCAGCTTAGACTTAGGGAAGGAGCTTAGACACAGAGAAGGAGCCTGTTCACGAGAGGGCCTTTCTGGCTAAACACAAAGGTAGCCCAAGGAGAGACAATGCACCATAGGCTTAAGGAGCAGAATAATCAGGCAATTGAGTTAGGAAAAAGCATCTGAAAATAAGGCTGGGTCCAAATCATGAAGGGTGATAGTCACGATTCTTACAGGGGTGGGGAACACTAATACATAAATATAAATAAATATATAATATAAATATGTATATAATTTTTTTGAGATAATATGTAGCTCAGGCTGGCCTCAAATTTGCAGTGATCTTGCCTCAGCCTTCCAAGTGCTGGGATTATAGGCATGTGCCACCATGCTGAGCTGGCACATACTAATTTAAATGGGTACATTTAAGTTGTTAAATTTATAAGGTCTAATTTATTAGGTGAGAAGTAATGATAAAATATTTAAAGGGAAGCTATTTACTGTATCAAGAGTGATAAACATTAATGTTTAGAAAAAAACGAAACTCAGTTGATACTGATAAACTAGTACCCCCGCATACCTAAATTGAGACAGGAAGAAGAGAATACCTAGGCCATACAGATGAATCATACAGATGAGTCATACAGATGAATAGGCTCTTAGAATTTGACTTTAAGCTAGTTTTAACCATTATTGAGAACTGTCAGTATATCCTTAGATTAAAACTTTGGAAAATGTTCCAAATGGTAGCTTATTAAACAGTCACATCAGTGAGTCTGAAATCTTCCACCTTTGTTCTGGTATTCTAGTAATAAGCATGATTGTATACTCCAAAATATTCATGATCAGTCAGATGAAGGCATTTCACTATTCACAAAATCCAAACAAGACCCTGAAACATTTCTTCCTAGTTTACTTCTTAAAAAAATATATTATTTTTTTGTGGTAATGAGGATCAAGCCCAGGAGCACTCTACCACTGAGCTATATCTACAGCCCTTAATTTGGTGGGGAGAATTTTTATTTTTGCAGGTATTTTTGTTGTTCTGTTTTTGTTTTTGTTTTTTGAGACAGCGTCTCAGTATGTAGTTTAGGCTGACCTTGAACTCACTGTAGCCCAGCTTGGCCTCCCAACTCAGCGATCCTGCCTCAGCCTCCAGGGTCCTGGGATGTCCATCACCACACTGAGGCCTTTTTATTTTCTATTCTGAGGCAAGCTCTTGCTAAGTGTCTAGGCCAGCCTTCTCTTTGTGATCCTCCTACTTCAGCTTCCAGAGTAGCTAGAATTACAGGCAATTTATGATCAAAGAACAAAGGATCATTACAAGTTAATGTTCTGTTTTCTTTAAACAATCGTGCACCCAAAGTTCATTAAAAGTTATTTACTTAGTAAAGAATCATTCAGAGAATAAACTTAATAAACATAGGCCATTTAAAAATACTATAGAGGGAGGGCCGGGGATTTAGCTCAGTGGTTTAGCTGCCTGCTGCGCAAGCAAGCACAAGGACCAGAGTTCGATCCTCAGTACCAAAAAAAAAAAAGTACCAAA